GGTACGCGACCTCTGCCTGTTCTTTCTTCTTCAGGCCTCATCTTAATCTGCATATCCTCCCTAGTGGACCTTCGCCCTCCCCTCCCTTCAGGTAGCACGATTCAGTGGTGACCCTCCAACATGCCTCTTCCCTCCTGACCTGTCTCCTGGAATCCACATCTGAGTTTCTCACCACGAATTGGGCACCTATAGGCCATCATCTGCCCTTCCTCCTCCTCCTCTGGACAAATTTGCCCCTTGATCTCTGGTTGCAATCCCACGAATGGTCAGCACACTAAACTAGAAATCTCAGAATCATACTGAGCCCTTCCCTTTCGTGTTACCAAAATCCTCTTGATCTTATACTAAAAATATCTCTCAAATCTGAGTATCTTCAGGTCTACTGACCATCGTCGTCATCATCATCACTGCAAATTCTTGCTTGTTAACTATGTTCTAGATACTTTCTAAGAAACACGCATACACTCTCTCTCTCTCTCTCTCTCTCTCTCTCTCTCTCTCATTTGACCCTCTCAGCAACCCTGTGAGATAGGTACCACTCTTCTCCCCTATTTTACAGATGAGGAGACTGAGGAGCACTGAAGCTGAAGAACTGGCCCACTGCTTGGCCAAACCCAAGCAGTCTGGCTCTATTTTTGTGCTTAGTGTTTTTTCTATAATCTTCTCCTGGGCTCTGCCCACTTCTTCCTACCACCGCAGCATTCCTCTCCTGCATCAGTCCTTCATCCATGTTTCCTTTCCTTCTCGGTCACACTCCCCTCACATGTGCTCCACTAAATGAAGTCGGCATGCTTGAAAATGCCAAGGGGCTCCTACTCCCTATAACATAGAGTCCACACTTCTGGATTCTATCTGGGCCTTCAAAGTTCTTCATAATTCAGTTTGGCCCACAGCTTCAGCCTCATCTTCCACTTACCTCATCTGACCTTCTCCAGTTCTCCCCAAGCCATGTCCTGTTACAGCAGGGAGCTTTCACACTCACTGTGTCCTTGGCCTGGGATATTCTTGCTGCCCGTTTCTGGCAATCAGGTCTCCTGACATCCCCTTGTCGCCCAGTGCAGAAACCATTTTTTTGGTGTCATCCTCAGGCAGTATCCCAGAGCTCAGCTCTCTGACATTTCTTGCAGAATTCATCATGCAGAACTGCAATTTATTTTCTTACAAAGACACGCTCTGTCCAGCTTTTAGGAATGACTAAATGTTCAAAGAATGTATGGATAGCCCCAGTTCCAACCTGCTGATTCCTTCTGTCTCTGCCCCTAAAGTACAAATTATTCTTTTCACTGGATGACACAACATCAGACAGGCTAGAAAGAACCCACATGACACATTGCCCTTCACGTCCTACAATTCAGGGTGAAGAACAGTTTCATCCCATTTCTCTTTAAACCAAAAGTTGAGAGTGGAAGTCAGACTAAGCAGTGGAACATGGCAAGGGAAAATGATGGGACCATAGCACATAGGCCCCAGGGGGCTCAGACCTTACCTCATCCAAAGATGAAGAGGATGGGGCAGGGCAGCATCTGTCAAGGGGCAGATAGCATTGGCACATGGGACTCCCGAGTACCCCCTCAGAGATCTGGCTTATTCTGCTTCTTCTCAACTTTGTGTTGCTTTTTTTCCCTGGGAATTGAAAGTGGCCTGGCTTCTGGGTCCCTGGGTCTTCCCACAATTATTCCCAAACAGGCTCAGGCTGCTTTCCTGGGACCGGGAAGTTAACAGACTCAACACGAAACTTCCTGATGAGCCAATGTCCCTGCTCAGGCAACTTCAGGACTGCGGTCTATCCAGCATCTGGCTGCAACTTCCAATTGCACCAACTGGCTTGGGGCCTTCCAACCAGACTCTACCAAGGGCAATGGCTCAGGCCTCACTATCCTGCGTCTGCCAACCCCTTTTCTGGATCTAACACAGGCTGCTCCTACACAACCACTCTTCCTCTCCCCACTCCCTCTACCTCCCATTTCCTCCCAGTTAGTCATGGTGAGGTCACGCTTAGCCTCTGGCTTGCAGGCCTCTCCCTAAGGATGGTATCTGTGTGTAGGGAGAGGAGAGTTGAGAAATGGTAGGGAGCATGTAGCAAGGCATCATGGGAAAACCAGGCTCTGGAATCAAAGAGATGTGGGTTCAAATCCCAGCTCTGCTAGTTGACCAAACATATGACCTTCGGCAAATGATTTAGTCTCTCAAATCCTTTGCCAAAAAAGGTGGGGCTGCCTGAAAGGCAGGTTCCTCACCTGTCCATTAGGGATAGTGACACTTGGTTTACAGTGAGAATTAAGTGAGATGAAGTGTCCAAAGTACCTGGTGCAGAGCCTGGCTGTGAATGTTAGTTTATTTCCCATGTTGTGATGTGTGAGGGCAGAAAGGTTGATGCAGAGGTCTGTGAAGTCCTGGGGACTCACCTGCACCCCTGTAGGGGGACACATGTGATTCTGAGCTCATGGGCATCTGTATCTGAGGGCATCTGAGTGAGAGGGAGTAAAGCAGGCTTAGGAGGGCATGGATGTGTGTGCTTGTGAGCAGAGAAGAGCTCCAGAGTATGTGTGCAAATGAGTGTGACCTGGTTGAGCCTCTCTTCCTCCAAAATTCCCCCCTTCTTTGAAGGAACGATCTATCGTGTCTGTTCTTGTCAGTAATGAGAAATCCAAAAACCCTTTCCAGAGGAGGGAGGAAGGGAGTGACCCACCCCATGAGGTTCATCCAAGGAAAGCAAACCCCAGTGAGGCCCACTCCTGGCAGATATCAGAGAGCTTTCTCCCAACAGGTGGGGAAATCACACCCCAAAAGATGTTCAAAGGTTGGGGGGCTTCTTTGCAAGTTACTTAGAATCAGAGGAGCTTCCCCAGTCTTGTCCCAAGCATGAGGGTTCTCAAGCTTCAAACCCACTGGGCCTGTGGAATGGGCCACCTCCAGGTTGGGCTGGTCTAGAATACCTTGGTGTAGGACACGCCCCTATATGGGCCCTCCATGTATCTCATCCAAGGGCCTAGCACAGTAAAAAGTGAACCCCAGGCTGGGTTCCTGAGTCCTCATGCAAGAAGCATAGGGCATAGACTCCACCCCAACTGCCTGAGCTCTCCTTTAAGATGACAGAATCCTCGGGCATCTCCTATATGTTCCTGCCCTTGAAGCTGACCTGGCCAAATGCCCCCTTATATAAGAATCTGTCTCATATTTAAAGACTGAGCAAGAAGCTGATCCCACCGTCTCCCTTTGGCTAACTCTTCCAGTGTTTGATAAACCACATTGGCTTCAGTGTGGTTTACTGAAGGTGGTTTATTAAATACAGAGGCGACGGTGCTATCACTGCAGCCATACTGGTTACAAGTCCTTCCTCACAGCTAACTTTGACATTTTGTGGAGGGAGAGTAAATGGCCTCAATTGTTAGTGAACTTCCTCAATGAATAAAACTGCAGAAGTTGCCTGCCTGAGAGGTTTTGGCTTAAGACTCAAGATTATTCCTCTCTGTGAAGGACAGATCCAGAGTTAACAGCCTTTAAGGAAATGTTAGTAGTGACTTCAAGTCACTCTGCAGATAAAGGAGAAGAACATAGGCCGTTGGCTGTCCAGACCCACACCCCAGACATCCATCTACACCTGGACTCAGAATGTCAGTGTGGGAAGGAATTTAGTGGTCATGCCATGCAACCCCACATTGGAGTTGTCTTCCTCATTGCTGGCTTCTTTTCCAGCCTACTCTTCTTTGCTCGATGAACTTGTATTCACCATTCAGAGCTAAGAAAAAAATATCACCTCTTCCATGAAGCCCGCCCTGAGCTCCTGGGAAGAATGAACTGTTCCTGTTTCTGTTTGATAACATGTTTTTTTTCCACAAAACTCTAGTAAAGCATGAATAAGGTTTATTGTAATTATTCACTTAATCTCTCTCCTCTCTCTCTCTCTCTCTCTCTCATCTCTCTCTTTTACCCTCTCCTAGCCCCTCTAGTTCCCTCTTTCCTACTCCTTATATGGGACTGTGAGCTCTTCCAAGTCAGAGTCTTCTTTGTATTCTCAGACCTGGCATAATATATATCCCCTGCCCCCACCAATTTGTAAATTATATTTCAGGTAGGAAAAGTCAGACCAAAAATATTGAATGACTTAATAAGGTTATATAGGTAGAGGCAGAAATGGGACCAAAACCCCAAGTTTCTGACTTTATATCTAATTCCCACCTTTCTACCTTACTCCAACCCTGCTCTTGCTTGTCTTCCACTTAGATTCCTACCTCCCAACCAACACTCCCACCATCTGCTTCTGATGCCAAATCTGGTCCGAACCCTCACTGCCAGTCTTCCCATCAGCCCCCAATTGGAGGGGGAAGAGCTGTCCTCCCACACACCACACCTCCCCTTCACTTTCCACATCCACATCTATCCATCCTGCAATCTGTACAATAACCCCCAACCTGCTGTCCTTGAGTGATTCCAACCACCCTGCTGTCCTTGAGTGATTCCAACCACTCACCTCAGTCCCTCAGTCTCCTTCAAAGGCACCAAGCTTGTGTCTACACTGGCCCATGGCTGAGCTATGAACTCCTTCCTGAGCAATTTTGGTTTTGTTTCCCCCCATTGTGTCCTGGAGTTCCCTGAGGAACCCAGGGACTCTACCCTTCCCCTCCATGAATTCCACCACGCGCAGTCAGTTGTGCAAACAGATTTGCTCAAGAGGCAATGCAGGCTGAGCTTTGACAGGAAAAGGGCATTTGTCCATTTTGCGCCATATCTGACACACAGTTAATAATAAATAGGTGCTCCATTTGTCAGTGCTTTTTTGAGGGGACAGTGAAAAATAGACCCTCGACATTGCATTGTGGGTTGGAGGGGAGGGATTAGACATGATAGCCCTTTTTAAAGGCCCCTCCCAATCCTGGAAACTGAGTTTATGAATAAACACCATCAAACTTGACTTACTTTTTATACCCCTATACCTCACCTCATATGATCCCCAAAAGTGACAGCATAAATATTCTTTCTTTCTTTCTGAAAGTACTTACCTGTCTGTTGAAATCTAGGCCATTGCGGTCATTTCCTGGAAGAGATTTTTAAAAAAGAAAAGAAAACATTAGTTGCTAGCAGGGTGGGAAGAGACAGATGATTAGAGGAACATAGAACCTTGGGAGGAGCATGCCCTGTGGCTGAGATGCTCCTGCTTATGCTGTTTCCTGGAAAGGTCTTTGGAAAATGTCCTCTAGGGGAGAGGAGCACCAGGATCAGGGGAGAATGACTTGCTCAAAACACATAGAATCAAGTGAGATCAGAAATTGCCATCCCAGGGTGATTTGCTCTATGACACATGTTTGTTCAGGGGCTGCACTGCCAAGACAGAAGCTACTGCATGTGCTTTCATGGTCAAGTGAGGGTGACCACTTGTGACTCCCAAAGGATTTGCCTGAAGGCAGAAGTCTTCCACTAACCCAGCCCTCCCTGGGATGACACGTATATTATGTCACGTAGGAAGGCGTCTGTCCTTTACCCCTACCCCACTTTCATTTCTGAAATCTTTTTCCTTTTGCAATAAATGTTGGTTTGAAAAAGTATGCTTTATAGAGAAAACATCTTTGGCATAGTGGAAACAAAAAGTAGCAGAAAAATTACTCTGTGAGAAGCTGCTACAATTAATATTTTTGTATATTTTACGGTCTTTTATGATTAGTTTTCCTCATTGATGTGTATATGTGTATATATATATATATTTGACACATATATATCACTCTATATAACTTTTCACCAACTTTTTCAAGAGTGCATCATAAATTTTTCTCCCATACTATTAAGGAGCAACATAAATCTTTCTCCTAAGATTGGCTACGTGATATTCCATTATATAGACATACCATAACTGCTGAAACATTCTTATTATTAGGGAATTGTTTCTTTCTTTCTTCTTTTTTTGTTATAATAACCTTTCCTATTCATCCAGCTCTCTAGGGCTGGAGCTGCCAAATAACCTCTCTTTGGACCTCATGGATCATTGGCTCAATAATGGCAAAGAAAGTGATAACTTATTAACTACCATACATAATAGGAGCTCCAGATACATTGGTTGAATGAATGAATAATTGAACAAGTGAATGAATTCAGAACTTTCCATCAGAAAATGTTGCTTTTCAATGGATCTTCAACAGTTTTGGAATGAAGTCCAAATTTCTTAGCACGATTTATAGCTCTCCATGTGACCTGGTTTCAACCTTCCTTCCCTGCTTAGTCTTCTGCCCCTCATGATCCCACCTTACCCCCTCCCAAGTACCCTGCACTCCAGCCACACAGAATGCTTGTTCTTGCCAGACACCCTGCTCCCAAGCTTCCATGACTCCGTGCACAGTTAACATCCCTTCACAAAATTAGTCCCCTGCCCCTCTGGAGTTCTGCAGCCCTGTCTACCAGCCACTCACCCTTTTCATAACTCCTTGTATGTCTCTATGCTTCTCTCCCTCTAGTCTATGAATTACTTGAAAACAGGGATCATGGCATCCAATTTTGCATGCTGCATGACCACCACAGTTCCTAACATGGGCCAGAGGCTCAGGAAATGCCTGTTGATGGATGAATGGGATCTAAGTGAATCCTTTGGAGTTTCACCTTAAGCCTGGTCTCCTTTCCTCTGTTCTAACGGATGACAGGAAGTGATGCCTTTTCCTGTATGGAAGTGAGGCATCCAGGCCAGCAAGATGAGAGCAGAAGGCAAAAGGATTTGGGACCCAGAGACAGAAGAGTATGACGAGGCGCAGAATGGGCTCTGAGATCACCCAAAGTGATATAAAAATCTGAGCAGGACTAAAGAGAAGAAACAGCCCATGGACTGAAAATATTTGTAGGTAGAGGAGTGGATTTAAAGGTAAAACTGATTTTCTCTTTAAAAAAAACCCAAATCTTTCTGGACATTGTAAAGTTGGCCTAATGTGGAGTAATTTTAAAATTTGACAAAAGAGCAAACCTATTAAATCAACAAGAATTTAACAAGCACACTCTATGGGCCAGACACTGTTCTAAGCACTTGGAATAAAATATTGGAGATGACAAACAGAAGTCCCCAAATGCATAGAGCTTTTTTTTCTGTTCAAGGAACTATAAAAGGAACATGTAAACAAATATATAATTTCATGTGCAGATTATCCCTATGGAGAACAATACATGTTTAGGGAAAACCTGACCACATAGTGGGGGTCAGAGCAATGTGGTCTGGGAAGACTACTCAGGGTAACATTTTTGTTGAATGAAGGCAAGACCTAATCTCTTGAAGGTCTGAGGACTATCATTCCAGGCAGAGGGATCGGGACCTGCAGCAAGAACAGACTTGCATACTGAGGAACAGTGATGGGGCCGGGGTGGCTGGAGAGAGGTACATGGCGGTGGCCGGGGGTGAGATGATGGGGCTCTGGCACATGGATCATGGTGAGGACTCCAGTTTTTTTGCCAAGGATGATGGAAAGTGATTGAGGGTTTTGAGAAGAGGAGGAATATGATCTGGCTTAAGTTAAACTGTAGTGATTAACTGTAGGGAGTAAGAGAATACCTACTAAGGGGGGGGGGGCAAATGGGAGACTGCATCAGTGGCCAAGGTAGGAGAGAGCAGCAGATGGAAAGGTTGCAGTGGGGGTGGTAAAAAGGGCCTGGATTTAGAATACATTTTGAATTTATAGCTAACAGGACTAGCTGATGGTTGGGAAGTAAGTGCATAGAATTCCTAGGGTTTGGGTTTTCTCGATGGAGTAAGGGGGTGGTGTCCTTTCCTAAGATGGGGGTGACACAGGGAGGAGCAGGCTGGAGGTGGAAAATCAAAAGCTTCATCTTTGAATATGTTAAGTTTGAGATGCCAATTAGATATCCCAGAAGAGGTGGGGAAATGAGTTTGGACTCTGACCTGGTGCCAGTTCAGAAGTATAATTGGGTAGTTCATCAGCTTATAGGTGGTATTTAAAGTCAGAAGACTTGGTGAGGTAACAAAGGAACTGAGTCCAGATGAAAAAGCAAAAAAGGGTCAAGGTGGGGGTAATGAGCCAGAAGTAGACTGAGAAAGAGCGGGCCCTCAAGCAGGAGGCAGGCCAGGCAAATAAGGCATCCAGAAGGCAAGAAAAGAAGGTGCTTACAGAAGCAGATGTGAAGAAGACCTAGAAAGTGAGAGAAACATGAGGGGGCCAAAACAGTTTGATCTGGAGGGGCCGTCCAGTTTGTGGACAATTTCAAAAGATCTTTGCATTTATTTTCCGTAAATGCCATTATCATGTTGCTTGTGTGAGCCACAAAGTGAAAAAGATGGGTAGAATTCAGAGATCAATTTTAAAACTCACCAGCCAACCAAATGAATGATTTCTCTTGCCCAGAAGTTTATCTATGCCCTTCTCAATGGATGCACCTGCTGGTCTAGAAGCCTGGCGATAGAGTTTCCCCTTCTCATCAAATTCATTCTTATCTGCACGGCTATTTCTGGCTCAGTTTCCTTGAATCCCTGAATGGCTGCACCTGATCAGCCAGGCCTCCCAGGAGACTGGCCCACGACACTCCAAGGAACAGTTGAGAGTGCCACAGAGATCAGTGCTGGTACTTAATAAGGGCTCAGTTCCCCAAGAGCGAATCTTGTGCTTATTCTGATTCCACTGCTAAGCAGGTAAGAGTGTTCTCACAAGATCCTGTTTTCCCCTGTGGCCCTCAGCCTAGGAGAAGGAGCTCAGAGCATCTGGGGGTCTAGGTTGAGATGGTGGCATAGTCTACCAGAGGCCTTAGTTAATAACTAGTTAATATTTTTGATGAGGCTGCTGATTCTCTATATTGGATGAGGGGAAACCACCCAGCTCTCATTTCACTGTCTTGCTGGTTCCTGCTTCTCCTATGGTCCACTGGACTTGTTCTACCTGGCACCTCTCCACACCCAGCCTACAGGAAAGACCTGGGAGGTGGTGCCTGGGAACTGCAGGCCAAGATCTAGTTTACTGGGGTTCTGCTGGTGCCCTAATGCTCTAAATTGAGAGGTGACAGGCAAGCCATTCCCAGAACTTAATTTATTCATATTTGAAATAGTAAGCAAAGTGTTTCGCTTTCCCAGAGATAGGAAGGGATGCAATTATCATATCACACAAAATACTGATCCATGATCATCAGAAGTTTCTTGTCTACCTGATGAAGATGCTCTGTGGAGGAGCAGCAGGGCATACTTGGAAAGGGTCTTGAACTTGAAATCAGAGGACTGGAGTTGAAGCCGAGCTCTATCACTCCTAAGCTATTGACCTTAGTCCTGGGAGGAAGCTCCAGCTTCTCAATGGCAAAATAAGATCGTAATTCCCAATACAATTTCTCAGGAATATGGTAACATTCAACTAAGATACAACTGGTGACTGGGCTTTAGAAGCTGGGAAGACTATCTAATTGTGGCACTAGGCTTCAGACCTCCCAGCCACTCGCAAACAGGCTGAGCCTGGTCTTGTGTTAGAGACTTTGCACACGCTGCTCACTCTGACTGGAGTGCCCTTCTTTCTCTGGAAAATACACACGCATCCAACATCACAACCCCCAACTTAGATGTCACATCCTCCATGAAGCTTATCCAAAGCAAAATAAGGGATTTCCTTCTCTGTGTTTACATGTCTTATTTATATCTCTTATAACACATTCCACTTTTAGATCAGCAGCCTGTGTGTCTGTTCCCTTATGAAACTGTGAGCTCTTAGATGAGAGGGTAATCATAGCCTCTTCATTTCTGTGTCCCAGGAGCCCAAAACAGCATCTAACACATAGCAGGTGCTGAATCACTATGCCTTTGCTCAGCATTACTGAGAAATTGCTACAAAAAATGAAGCTTTTCTTCAGACCTAAGAAGTCAAGGATCCACTGTCTATAGAAAACCAAACATTCTATTTCCAAGTGGTGACATCTTCCAGGTGGCACTCCCGTGCAGAAAATAGTAGACAGACACACAGGAGTGGAAGAATTATTTTTAGAGCTGGACAAACACTGAAATTCACCCTCAGAGGGAAGCACCTTGCTGAGGTCACACTTGCTCCCAGTGCCTGCATGAGGATCAAGGCTCAGAGGCCT